TTTTTTTTTTTTTCTTTCTTATCAGTACATATATTTACTTACTCTGTTTTATGATGGGGTAACAAAGCTGAGGTGCCATAAAGGGTGTTTCCCCACACCCAGGCTTGGGAAAGTCCTCAGAGTCAACACACACTCACTCACTGATGTCTGAAAAAATACTGCTAATTGCCCAACCTGAGAAGCTGCCCCAGCAAGTTCAGAATCAGGACTGATTTTCCCCAAGCATTGTGGGGGCCAAGCTAGGGCTGCAAGAGGAAGATTGTGCAGGAACAGCTCCTCTGGCACCCCTGCTTTCTGGGCACTGCTGCAAGTCCTCTGCTGTCACAGCTACTTCCGCAAGTGTAACAGATGTTGGTGATTTTTCTTGATCTGCTTTCAAAAGGTACCAGGCTCTAGTGAGCTCTCCCACAATCCGGTGGATATTCTGCTACAGGCAGAGTGCTCCTCCCGTTTATTACTCCAGTGTGGGATAGTTGTACTAAGTTTTTTCATTATTTGGGTCTGTTATTGCATTCTTCAGTAATTTTTTGCCAAGCACAGAAACCAGAGGCTGGGTGGGTGTTATTCCCTGCAAGAAGATTGTGGATTTGAGATACAAAAGAACCTTAATTGTTTTCCCAGTTTACTCTTATGACATTTAAATGCAGAAACAGAAACAGTGCTACACATTATTTGACTCCTTTTTTCTCTCTTTGTAGACTTGAACGTCAAGTACACCAGGAAGTGTGGAAGGAAGTGTGGAAGCACAGCAGCAATAGCAAAAATGGTCATATCAGTAAAAGTTACCAACTCCCCAGGACACAGTATTAGTTCTCTAAATCTGTTGTATCTTCTGCACTGGTAAAATGACACACAATCTGTTTGTACAAATAAAATATTTTGTGTGTCATCACATCTGATTTTCATTACTACACTTGTTATGACAGTCTGAAAGTTGATAATAAACTCACTCTTTGTAAATTTTCAATGTTGTCAGACTAAATTAGTAAGTCAAAAAGGTCATAGAGCTAACATGATTTTTTCAGGCTTCTCTGGGAATTCTGTGCCAATCATCCCTACAACAGTAAATGCAGAAACATTTGTAGAGGAGGCGCTCTGAGATGACTTGTCCCGATTTATTCTGCATATCTGAACAGCCAATTAAGGAACAGACTGAGCTCACTGATGGAAATTACCCTTGATAGAAATTTCTGTAGTCAAGATAATTAGCAGTTATGAGGTAGGTGTCTTTCTTTTAATTTTACTCTTTTGGGAATGGTTTTTACAAGTTCATATCTTAAACTGTCCAGCTCCTCTCCAAAGGCAGATAAGGAATAGTCCTTCCTTCCTTCTTTCTGCAATTTGAAAGATGAAGCAGAAAAATTTGCATCTGGATTTAGAGCTTGACAATGTAGCAGATGACAGAGATAAAATAACTGGACCGACATGAGATAAAAATGTTGTAAATAATACCTTACAGAAATATTAACTGCAACATGGATGTGGAATATCATGGAGGAAATGGAGTGACTGTCAGGGCTCTAATCAGAAGAGGAACGTAAATGTAGACACCTTTTAAAAAATTAACTTGGTGACAGTCTGCCAGTACTTTCTTGTGTGCAATTTTAAAGCTTGTTTAAACTTTGTACTTGAATCCTGACTGTAATACACTTTGTGGGCTCCACCTTGTTCAGAGTATGGAGTAGTTTTAGATTTTACTCGGTGGCACATTTCTCTTTGTTCAAAAGCTCCTTTAAACTTTATTTGAGGACAAGTTTGTGGTGGGAAAATGATGCCAACCAGGGATTTCAGTAAAGTAACAATATAGGAAGTGAGACATCACTGCAGGTAAGTGACTCAGAACTGTCTTAATGAATAGACTGATAAACATTGATTAGTCACAGCTTGGAAATTATGTACAGCAAAGCTCACTGATGTCTGAATAAGAAATCTGTTTCATTTAAATACTGTATCTGGTCTCCTGCTGTTGAAAGGAGACTCGTTATCTAGAAATACTAAGAAATACTTGCTTTTTATCCATCATTTAATTAACTTCATACTTTAATATGAGCCACTTCAAGAAGTTGTGGAATATAGGAAAAATGATGAAAAAGGGAAAGAAATAGATTAATTTCTGCCTGGCAGGTGAAGCTGATAATGTACTGGATGTGACTCACCACCTCTGCTTATTTAAATCTGTACCCTTGGATACTTTTTGTTCTCGGCTTGTGGATGCTGTGGGAACTTCTGACAAGTCCTGAATAAGCAATAGCTCTCTAACAGTGAGGAAGTGTGCAGATATGGTACTTACAAGGGGGCAAAACTTTTCCTCTGCCATGGGTTTGCCAAGATTGCTTCCAAGAAGCAGTGTCTTCACAATGTAAACATGATATTTACCAATTTGCAAAGCATAAGAGGTTTGCTTTGAAGTAAAAAACTCAGTTCTTATTGCACTTTCAGGGTTTTTTTCCTGTTTGTATTTAATACTCACACTGCAAGTTTTGGCCTTTGACTCAGGGACTCTAGTGGAAAAAAGGGAGGGAAAGTTTTATGTAAGTATGTCCTTGTTTTCAGACAATCCCTAGATGACCTTCAGAGGTCTCTTCCAATCTCACAAGTCTGTGGTTCTGCTCATTGCAATTATGATACAGTTTCATTGCCTTCACTGCAGCTCCAGAGTGAAGAAAGGCTTCATACACTTCCTACAAATTCTGGGTTAACTTTTAAAGAAGGAAGGTACTGAAAAATGCCAGTTAAGCTGTATTTGATTGTATTCTATTTAAGGAATACTGTACTGTCATTAGTCCAGAAATTATATTACAAAATAAATTTTGAGAACTGTATTATTAGAGAAGACTTCCAAATATATAGCTTTTAATTAAATTTGTACAGAAAGCATAGCTTTATAGCTTTCAGTTACAACTCAAGGCCTCCCAATCATACATACATTGCACTAGCAATTGTGTCAACGTTCTCCAGCTGTAGCATTCCTGTGTGGCAGGAGCCTTCACCTGAGTTAGAGGGATAAGGCACTCCTACAGAAGCTGATGCTATTTGTGCTTCTCAGGGCTGCCTTCCCCTGCAGGGCACTATAGTGAGGCAGCTGTAAAGGAGGCTGTATGTAGGCACAGCTCCTGGGAATACAGTTCCTGCTGGTTCTGAGAGTGGGCTAAGCCACTTCCAATAATTTGAGGACTGCCCTGCAAAGCAGCCCAGTTAAGTGTGGACTCATCTCTCCTGCAACTATGGAAGATGAGATTCAGCAGAATGAAAGGTACTTTTCTAACTATATTCCTTAAAAATAGGAGACAGGGACTACTGGTGTCTGCTAACCAGAAAATGGCTAAGTATTGCAGCCTACTTTTTTAAGCAAGGCAGCTTGATTTTGATCTTGCTTGGTGTCTACTTCAAATTCTCAATTCAGTTGTGATTCCACTGGATCCCTCTGTAGATGGAAGAAAACACACATACTGACAACAGCTTGTGTTGTTTGTTTCTTCTGTTCAAGTACATAATAAGGGTGTGAAAGTAGTTTAAAGCCTAAGTTTTGGATTCAGATGAAAGGAGGGCATAGTCAGGCTTTCAAAAAGAGATGTCTTTCACCCAAACTACAAAAACAACAAAGCTTTTGCTGTTGATTGTAGAAGTACTTTTCAGCATTCAACAAAACAGTTTTAAATAATTAAATGCTATTATTTTGAAGGAGGAGAAATAGTATCATTCAGGAGAGCAGGTCTTAACAGATCTGTTGCTAATAATTCTCTTGCCTCAGATGCAGGGCTTGGACCAGTGACCTCTAGAGAGCCTTTCTAATTTAAATTCTGTAAAATAAATAAGCTTAAGACTTACACAACAAATAGGTCAGCTGGAAGTCAGATCACCACATCACATTCAAAGATGATAGAAACTAATGGAGCATGCACAAACAATTTCCAGCCTTGAGGAAAAAAATCCTTCATAAATCCAGAACTTGCAAATGTAAAACATTTCATAAATGAATGCAGTAAGTTTAAACTGCAGTGAACACTTTTAAGATAGCCTTAATTATTTTACAGAAGTTAGAAACTGCAACATTGGCCCCCACTGACAGATGCTGTTTTTTCTCCTTTTAAAAACAGGTAAATTAGTGCAGCTTCTCTGCACTCCACGGTGAGGAAGAAAGCATCCTCCATTTAGGAATAAAGCTCTGCTATTAGTAACTAAGTACCTGGCAGGCACCACAACTGTGTGTCTCTTTACATAATCTAAAGCAAGGGTGCTTCGCGTTCTCCAAGTGATGGTATAAAGGGAACAGGCTGAAGCAGAGGTAGCAATAAATATGTGCAATCCTTGTTTGCCTTGAGAAAATGACAGGGATTTAGTGAACAACTAAGGATCTCTGGTCATAACCTCAGAGTCATGAAGAGGGGAAGTGAATCCAGCTGTGAAGGACCTACATTCCTCTCCTATTAAGTCAGTGTCACTCATTCCTGAGAGATTTTTACAAGATTGTTAGATTAAATCCCATGGAAAAGAATGAACCCAAACTACAACAGACCAGAGTTCTACATTACCCTTAACACAGGCAAAGGTGATGCTTATCTAGGAATAATTCTTATGACCTCTAAGACTGGTATCATAACAGATGAGACAAGATTGTCTACGTACCTTTAAGAAAAAAATATTTATTTATAAAAATACAATGGGATCAGTTTGAGAAGTGTGGCAATAAATACAGTTCAAGGAAGAAAAAAGCATTTCTACATGGATATATTATGGCACAATAAAAGGTAAATGCACCATCAATCATGGAACTTCTGTTGGCTCAAGACTTTGTACAAGCTCCCTTTTTAGTAAGACAACTATTTCTAAGTTTGGTCAGTGTTGATAATGGAATGAATACACAATCACAAATGCACACTTAATGTCTAATGCAGGACTTACCATTAACAAACAATACCTTAAAAACATAGCAATGATATTAAATCACTAATGAGATATCTTATATTTAATTGGCAAAGACCACATGTAACTTTAAGCATGAGATTCTTTTATCTCCTCTGGAGAAAAGCTGTAAATATGTAAAATGAAGGCTTAACTTGGTATGTAAAAACCTACTTAAGTAGAGATTGTGAGAATGCATAGCTCCTTACGAAACAACCTGGCTGTACGAGAGCACTCCCCCTTTCACAGTATTCCTTTTACTTCATATGCAGTTATTTATGCTGTAGACTACAACTGTTACAGCACTAAAGGCAACTAGACAGGGAAAGGGCAGAGAAAGGAGAAAGGAATGTATGTAAGGCAGTATTTCTTTAGGTACATTAAGCGTAGTGTGTAGGAAAAGACAGGTAACGATTCCACAAGGCTAGTTTCGTTCTTACTGAATAAAATAATGGACTAATACTGAACTTTTGATGTAAAGCTAGTAATCAATGCCCTGGTCACTGTACTGACCATGGTAATCTCTTTGATAGTCATCTTGGTACTCTCCATGATAGTCATCTGGGTATTCTGCCTGATAATCGCTATCGCTGATTTCGGACCCGTTAGTTCCTGTTCCTTGGCTGCCGTTATGGATGACGGGCTCTGTGGGTGCAGCACAGTACTTGGGGTCATACACTTGCCGTCCAAGCCCATACACACTCATTCCCTTCTGCGAAGCTACTTTGTTGGTACCCATTTGTAACGAAATAGTTGAGTTATCCACAGGTTGTAATATGTGCTTCTGATCGTAGATGTCTCTCCTGGTACCTGGTGCCAGCATACCAGCCTATGAAAACAGGATTGTAGAGGTTTAGTAAGAAAGTCAAGAGCTGTAATTAGTAGATTTATAATTTCAACTAGTATGCCTCACTGAAAGTGCTGAAACATAGAAATTAAAGTATAACAAAACAGAGCACAGTAATATGTGTTCATTAGTAGGTAAGTCACAGAAGAAAGTCCTTGCAGAAAGGTTCAATTTATGTTCCCCTTTGGAAAGAATATACCAAGCATTCTGGCTAAGGTAGTGCCAGTAAGCAATTTCTTTTTTGCCTCTGTCTAGTTAATACTTAAAATGAAGTTACTGTTTTCTCCTGGTATAACACTGCCAGCAGGAAATTCTAGAAGCACGGGATATTTTTATGCCAAGACTCAGCACAGAACACACTGGTTACGATAAGAGATTCAAATCCCTCAATCACTGCATAAAAGCACAGCTGAACTGTACCCACCCACTGCTGCCTGTGAACTGGGCACCACTCCAGGCTCTCCTGTCCCACTGGGCTGAGAGCTGTGTCCATCCTGCATGTCACACACAGTCCTGCTTACCTGACTGGCTCCTTTGTTAGTGCCCATCTGTAGGCTAATCGTCGTCTGGTCAAATGGCTTATCAGTTTGCATTTTTGGATCATAGAGGTGTCTTCTAGTTCCATAAGCAGTCATGCCTGCCTGACTGGCACACTTGTTGGTGCCCATCTTTATTGGGGGAAGGAAGAGGTGGACAGAAGAAATTATTTTTATTTGTACTTTAAGCATAGTCTAAGGAAAAAAATATGGTTGGTAACTGTGATGGCTGACCAGCGAAAAAAAAAAAGGTCATTTCAGTGCTTGTTTTTGTCATGTAGTTTGACCACTACCTGTAATAAATTACCCTTTCTCCTTACTGAGTTTCAAAAGGAAAAATAAAGGCAACTGTCATACTAGGGCATTTCAGTGACTGTC